ACACAAGTTGTATATGTAGCTATGGGACCCATATCAAAAATAACGCGGTATGACAACGTTTTAAATGCAACAACAATATTGATTGCGTGAGAAATATTTTGAAGGAATTATTTTCTCAATAATGTTTCTGTTATCTGAGCTTTGCTGTGAGAGTAATATTTGTATGACGCACCATGCCTGGCTTTCGCTAACCGGTCGTCAGTAGCAGAATTAAATTATATTTGGCTGAAATGAATTGTCAGTTTCACCACCAATGGCTTAAAGGAATTTCAAACTATGGATTATTCTGCGAAAATAATCGTCATTTGAAAACATGTTATCACCCCACAGAAATGTAAATTAAAAAAAACGTAAATCTTAACATCGAGTAATAAAGTATAAGTTCGGTAGCACATTTTAATTTATTACACAAATCTGACATGATTTTAGCTTTCTCCGCATTTGTAAAGTTGCTAAGCAAGTTTGAACTTGATGAAAAAATTGATGTAGTTTAAGTGACTGTGTAATGATTAAATGGTTCTATCTTGCTTAACAATATTGCTTGTTTTTAGGATTTGTGTTAAATGAGGAAACAGGGCAGGTTCTAATGGTTCAAGATAAAATACGAGTGAGTATAAAAACAATGTTTAGACTCATCATTGTTTGTTGAAGTCTCCACTTATGACAAATGTGTATCAGCAAAAGTCAATGACGCATACACGACCTTTGACTACATTGTATTGAGTGAAGAAAGTGACACAAGTTTTGTTAATTAAACACATACTTTTTGGGAAGTCCTTGGATGCTGAATTTAAAATTGAATTTAGAGTATTTTTACTTTACATAGTTTCATTTTTTAATTGGTTTGCATGGAATATAAAACAAACTGACCAATGAATGAAGAGTATTTCACTTCACTTTATACTATTTGACCAATGAATGAAAAAAAGTTCACTTCACATTGTACTTATTGACCAATGAATGAAGAGTATTTCACTCCACATTGTACTAATTGACCAATGAATGAAAAAAGGTTCACTTCACATTGTACTTATTGACCAATGAATGAAGCGTATTTCACTCCACATTGTACTAATTGACCAATGAATGGAAAACATTTCACTTCACATTGTACTAATAGACCAATGAATGAAGAACATTTCACTTCACATTGTACTAATAGACCAATGAATGAAAAAAAGTTCACTTCACATTGTACTAATAGACCAACGAATGAAGAACATTTCACTTCACATTGTACTAATTGACCAATGAATGAAAAATATTTCACTTCACATCGTACTGACTGACCAATGAATGAATAGCATTTCACTTCACATTGTACTTATTGACCAATGAATGAAGAGTATTTCACTTCACATTATACAAACTGACCAATGAATGAAAAACATTTCACTTCACATTGTAATAATTGACCAATGAATGAAAAACATTTCACTTCACATTGTACTAATTGACCAATGAATAAATAATATTCCACTTCACATTGTACCAATTGACCAGTGAATGAAGAACATTTCACTCTACATTGTACTAACTGACCACTTAATGAAGAGTATTTCACTTCACATTGTACAAATTGACTAATGAATGAAGAGTACTATTTCACTACACATTGTACCAATTGACTAATGAATGAAGAGTACTATTTCGCTACACATTGTATCAATTGACCAGTGAATGAAGAACATTTCACTCTACATTGTACTAACCGACCAATGAATGAAGAGTACTATTTCACTCTACATTGTACTAACCGACCAATGAATGAAGAGTACTATTTCACTCTACATTGTACTAACCGACCAATGAATGAAGAGTACTATTTCACTCTACATTGTACTAACCGACCAATGAATGAAGAGTACTTTTTCACTCTACATTGTACTAACCGACCAATGAATGAAGAGTACTGTTTCACTCTGCATTGTACTAACCGACCAATGAATGAAGAGTACTATTTCACTCTACATTGTACTAACCGACCAATGAATGAAGAGTGTTTCACTTCACATTGTACAAATTGACCAATGAATGAAGAGTACTATTTCACTACACCTTGTATGGACAAATGAATGGTTTTTCTCATTTATTTTATTAATAGCATTTGCCACTGCCTTAATTTTATAGAATGGCTGGTTCTGAAAGCAATCTCTCAACCATAGTTTTGACTTTCCCATCTATGTTATGAATACGACACATGGAATATGATTTTTAAGCCAGGTGCCAGATTCCCGCAATTAATATCATTAGCTGTCAGTCCTGAATATTTTTACATGCAAAAGGACTGATTACTGTCCAATCAAATCATTGCTCTGTTTATAAAAATGATTGGGCATTGGCTACCTTACTGAATTGGCAGCGTACACACCCTGGTTAGGGAAACTCATTTTTGCTATGATTTGAACTTGAGACAAGCTTTATGTTACCGATGTAGTTAGTTAAAATCTTCTGACCTCATATCTGCTGACACTGCAATGCAACAGCACTCGAGTGTATGAAGAAATCGTTGAAATAAATGAAACAGAGATTTTTTATAATTATCCTAAACTATTCACAAATAGACCTCCATATTGGAAATCTTATTATTATATAACAAAACTTCTCGTGTGTTAACCTTATCATCTAACATTTACATCCTCTGACACATAATACGCTCATGAATAAAATGTCTGATATGCTGGTATTCAGTCCCCACTACAACTTAATAATTAGGTAAAAATATGTTGCATATTTCCAAGTTGGCTAAAGCGTGAAATGTCATATTAAGAATACCGGTAGTTTGAGTTTGCTTTCACTTTCTACACAAATCATCATTCATGGCAATTTCATGACCTGTCTGTGGCCATTATTATATCATGATTAGCTATGGCCGTTTATTGACCTAACATTAACAGTATTGAAAAAGGTTACAGTAGATGCTGCATAGTCTGCAAAGTAAAAGTACATTCTTGTTTGCAAGCAACATGTCAAAGGTTAGACAAAAAGTTTGCTTCATTTTGTGAATGTAATACAGCAGTACACAATTGTGGTCGAATCAGTGGAAATCATAAACCACACTTACATGACCACTTATCATTAATTATACAATCTACCTGCCCACAACACTTGCCAAAGCTTTTATTAAAGTTTTGTTGAACATAATTAAAATTGTGGAATAGTTTCTCTTTAAATGAGTTGCCGTATTCAAAAGGTATTACTTTATCCATTTTCCTACTTGTTCATGAATACACGATTGTCTCTGAAAATTGCACCGTGACCTCTGTGGTTTCGTTTCGCTTTTCATCTTTGTTGTAGACTGAAGAAAATGTCTCGTTTTCAGGTACCACCACACCCTCCTTAACAAATTTCAAATGTCATTTACACCCACATGTATTCTGTCTCCATAGTAACCTCCCACTCATACATCTATACAAGACATAATGGCGCCAATGTGTGGGATCAAGTCAAAAGTGTATAATTGACATCTACGGGTTAAACTGGATTCTTTTCTGTTTATTCTGCACTGTAGGTGTCACTTTGGAAGTTCCCTGGTGGTTTATCCAACCCTGGGGAGGACATTGCGGACACTGCCATCAGGGAGGTCTATGAGGAGACTGGTGTTAAGACAGGTGAGGGTAAAAATACAGGTGTCTTATTATACAGGTGTTCCACAAAAAGACAAGTGGGCAATAAGTAAGCGGTCAGATCTTAAAATTTGATCAACTGGGTGTGGTTTAAGTTTGTACGAAGAGAGGTTAAAAAGATTAGGGCTGACCACAGCACTCTAGCTGTGGACTCATAGCCATATGTTGCCGACCGCATTATTTACGTGACTGACTCTGGTCTACCGGTATGTTCGACAGACAATAACAAAATCAACAAGTCATTGTTAATGACAAAGTCCCCGTCCAAAATTTTGTGATCTGACATATCAATTTGATTCTGATGAAGTCATTGAGACTAGATTTAAACCATTAATAGTTTGACCTAGCCCACCAAAATGTGAGCTGCTTTTGTTATCTGTGAACATTAACCTTTTCACCACCAGTTCCATTTTTTCATACAAATTCATAAATTAGTCCCGTTTATGGTCTGCATTTTCCTTCAGAAGATTAGAACAAAAATAGCCAAATTTTTTGAGTAAAAACTGAAAAAATACTTAAATTTTGTCTATCTGTCTGTACTGTATTGAACAATTTTGGCGAAAAAGTCTGGTGATAAAAAGGTGTATGTGTCATAATCTTTCCGTCATGTTGTCAATTCTGAAATAAAATATTTTATACTGGTTACTCATTTTTTAAAGATGTTAAAACATAGCACTACAAATAATTAACATGTTGTGAACACAAGAGTCTAATTTTTAGAAATGCAATGTTTAATTCAATATGGTTGACTGACTTCAGTATCAAACTCTACCCTACCAGTAATTGCTAATGCGTAATAACTACTCAGACTTATGAATTGAATTCTGTCAATCACAAGTCTGTCCATTAGTGTTTCAGAGACATTCATTTCATAATGTTTTCAGTTTACTTCAATAGGATTCAATTTAGATCATCATGATTTTTTGCTGGCCCAGTTAAAATACTAGATTTTATGATTAGAATCAAAATAGCCGACTAATGGCCATTTTACCCTCTGAAGTGCTCCGAACATACTCTCTGATTTAGTTCAAGTTTAAGAGTCGAGACTGAATGGTATACGTCAATTTGTTTTTGGATTTGATGAAATTTGACCAACTTTTGTGATTTCATTTAAGATATTGGCCATTTTGTTTTGTATTTCCTTACCCATTTTGTTAGGAAACATAGGTCAACAGAACTATTTGATGTTTAAGAAGAATGCTTGGCAAAAGTCATTTTACTAGAATATAATAGTTCAACAATAAAAACTATAAAATATAATTAGTTTTCCTATCATTAGATTTTACCAGTTCAGGCTGTTATAAGTAAGATACGTCTTGTCCTATTGATAATTTTATATGTATAGGTGTGATATTTTGATGAATTGTTAAATGTATTTACACCTGAAATCAAATTGATATATGTTACTTTTTAGATGCAGGGGAATGTTGAAAAATCACTTTCTGTGATATTAACCTTTACACCACCAGTTCCCTATTTTTATCACAAATTCACAAAATAGTCCTTTTCATAGTCTGCAGTTTCTGTCAGAAGATTGGGGCAAAAAATGCCAAATTTTTTGAGTAAAAGCTGAAAATTGACTCAAATTTTGACTGTTGGCTCCAAAATTAGGGTTCATTTCCAGAAATATTGGAGAATACAAGAAAAAAGTGATGAAAAATTTTGGCGAGAAATTCTGGCGGTGAAAAGGTTAAATGATACGTGTCACGCACAGAGGACATAGTGTAGATAAATGAGTGATCGGAGTGCATAGCTTATTGGCTATTTTTGAGCTACTATCTACATGATCAAATGTTAATTTTAAGACATTTTTGATTTAAAGTTGATTATATATTTGTGAAATTACACATATAATGGAAATCTAACACGTAGATAAATTCCTGAAATAAGTGAAAATATAGATAACCCTGTACTTTAACTAAAGAAGCCAATTATCACATAGTTTATTCTAAAACGTGTATTGATTTTAGTCGTATATTTATCGCTCAAATGTAAATAAATATATATCTTGGCATAACCGCTAAAATTACAATTCTTAGTAACAAGTGAATTTGAGCCATACAAATTTTTTATCAAGCTGCTGATTTGACCTTGCCACTTTTCTAAAAAATATGCACAAATACCTTTCCAATGATACCACACACCATTAGTACTTACAGTCTGTACGAAATCTGCCAAAAAATGGACTTAGCCAGTAGACTAATCACCCATACGTCATTCTCCATGTCAAGTTTATCTGTATATATCTTGCAATATAATGGTTTGCACAGAATTACAAACACTATCAATTACCTGCGGAACCTCTCAATAAACTTGTGTGGTCAGATTATAGGTGTGTAGTTTTACCTAGTCAGTACGAAAACACGGAAAACAATTAAAAGTAAATCTGATAAAAAAAACGGGCTATAGAAACTGGCTTATTCAACGAGATCGGGTTTGGGTAATTAATACTTGATTGTCTGTGCTGATAGCTGTATTTCATATTGTACAATGCTAATATGACGCCCCATAAAACAAAACAAAGACCACCGAGCGCCGTACTCTAGATTGTGTCATTGTATCCGACCATTACCAGTACATTGTTATAGTATATAATAGAGGGTATTGTTCCCAGACACCTACAGATTACATGGTGACAAATTCCCACCAACTGGAATAGTGTATGAAACTGCAGCCCTGTTTACTGATATGATTGTGTAACGCCTTTGTGTTTCATGGTTCACGGTGTATGAGTACCAGCTATTTATTGGGTGTATCATAGTTTATTATTGTTTCTTGTAAGGTGCGGCTTGGGTGTACCGGTTTATTAATAGTTGTTGGGTCTTCTAGCTACGCTTTTGTTTTTGTTAGTCTTAAGCCAGCAAAGGCTTTTTTTAATTGCAAAATACTTCACAGCTTCCCTCACAAAACTTTTAATCAATTAAACTTGGTGATGTTTTAAGGTAGAGATGCAGTTTATTTGGCTTGCTTTTAATTGAGTAATTAGACAATGAAGATGGTATTATATATCCAACATGTTATATATTTTCTGAAAGCTTATTATACAAACTTTGTAAAACTTGTCTTTATTTTAACGCTACACAAAAGTAAAAAATATTGTCATTTTTTTTATGTTTTCATATTTGATATATCATGTTACAAGAATTGAGAAAATAAAATAAAAATATGGGGTAACCTACCGTACTCAGTTCAGAGATCAATAAAATACAGTGAAAATAACACGTTTTGTCTGTTTTAGGACATTTTACCATTGTTACATATTGCAATGATATATTTAAATATCTCAAAATTTTGCTTATAGATAAAAGTTGAAAAAAAGATGCAGTAAAATAATGTATATCAAAATTGTTCGGTAATCCGAACACGTGTTACGTTCCCCAACCATGTTGTTGTTTTCAGTATAAGCCGTAAGAAGCTATAGTTTGGTTCAGTCAGATGTTGTCAGTTGTTTATGTTAAATGAAAGTGCGATGTACAATTGATTGCGTGTAAGTTGCATTGTTTTCAATTCATGGTTCAATGAGCAACTAAATGGTTCCGACTCAAATTTCAGAGCAAGCTTTGGATGGTGGAAGACAGACAAATTTCCATGCAGGGAGAGAAACTGTCATCTGGCGGTAGAGTCATTCATTCAAAAATTCCATGAAATTATGACTAAAGAAAATGATAAATCAGAGCAAATTTACAGCACTGATGAATCAGGCAGGACCTTATTGGAAAAACATTGGTAGCCACCTCAGAGACATCAACACCAAGACAAAGTCAGCAAAAAAAGATTGACAATCATGGCTTGTGTCAACACTGCTGGCACACACAAATTGTTGCTTGTTGTCATTGGGAAATCCATGGATCTGCGTTGTTTGAAACATGTTAATATGAACAACTTACCTATTCAATATTTCAAGCAAGCAAGTGCATGGATGAGTGGGGAAATATTTTCCAAGTGGTTTCACGGTGCTTTTGTTTCTGCGATTTTGTGCGGTGATTTTGAATTGAATGAGCCTTGATACTTTTGCGTAATTTCCCGTCTCACTCCGATGTTGCCGAGCTAAGAAGCATTGGTGGATCAATCAAATGTTTATTTCTGTTGCCAAACACCACCTAGCTAATTCAACCAATGGACCAAGGCGTTGTAAATGTTACAAAATGTCGCTACAAATTGAAAATGTTGAGAAAGTGATCATGAAAAATGCAGATGCTGAGACTGACAAAACACTATCAGACTGTGCCAAATCTGCGAACTTGAAGGACGCTTGTTACCTGATTGGGATGTCAGGAGCTGAAATCTCTGAGGAATCGCTGACAAATTTCTGGCATTAAATTGAAGGTAAATTTGGAAGATTCTGAGAAAATTGAAAATGTGACTTGATAATGAAACCACTGGTGAAACCAACATCTAAGACATCGCATCACAACTTTTCCCCGAAGACTGCAATACTGCCATTGAATAGATGGAAACAGTAAAAGACAACTCTGGCTTTCAAGTAATTAGTGATGATGAAATACTTCATTCCGCTTAGCAATCCGTGACAGAAGGAATAAAAAAGGCAGAAGGATATTCTAGTGACAAAGAAAATCTGTCTTGTGTCCGCATGTCAACTCACAGTGAACCTGCCGACATGTATTCACAACCAGACTGCGAATCAATGCAGCTTTTTTTACTCTGCAGAATCCTCAAGAAGGCATTCAGTGTTGTTATCAGACAGCAAAGCAGTGCTCTATAGACCATTTCGTAACAAAAAGTAATACAACATGCAGTGCATATAAACAATAAAATTATTTTATTTATTTTTTACGTCAGCATAACGCAAGACATGTTTACATTTTAATTGGCAACACATATTGTGTAGTTGGTGAACGAGTGTGAATGGTGAAATTGAACAATGAAAAAAAATCCCAACCCCGAGTTTGCATAACCAAACTTTTTATATCTGAACAAAAACCATGACACCCAAAGTGTTCAGATATTCAACATTTTACTATATAGTGTCTTACAAGGTAATAGAAGTATTAAAAATATTGACAATATTTATAGTGGGTTCTTGATGAGGAAACATGTTTTCATTGTGGTCTATGTAACTGCTGCTAAAATGGCATTTTATTGGTATTATTTTACTGTTTGTTTTCCAAAAAAGCTCACATACTCTTGACCAATACATTTAGCCACCTTCACCTACTCTGTTGTTCATTTGTATAGTCAACTGATGGTCACATGTGATCTCATCAAGTGTGGCCAACTGATGGTCACATGTGATCCCAATCACTGTGGCCAACTGATGGTCACGTGTGGCCAACTGATGGTCGCCTGTGATTCTATCAAGTATGGCCAACTGATGGTCAGATGCTATCTCATCCAGTGTGGTCAACTAATGGTTTCATGTGATCCCATCCAGTATGGCCAACTGATGGTCTCATGTGATTCCATCCAATATGGCCAACTGATGGACACATGTGATCCCATCCAGTGTGGCCATCTGATGGTCCCATGTGATCCCATCCAGTGTGGCCATCTGATGGTCCCATGTGATCCCATCCAGTGTGGCCATCTGATGGTCGCATGTGATCCCATCCAGTGTGGCCAACTGATGGTCGCATGTGATCCCATTCAGTATGGACAACTGATGTTCGTATGTGATCCCATCCAGTATGGCCAACTGATGATCACATGTAATCCCATTCACTGTGGCCAACTAATGGTCACATGTGATCCCATCCAATATGGCCAACTGATGGTCACATGTGATCCCATCCAGTGTGGCCATCTGATGGTCCCATGTGATCCCATCCAGTATGGCCAACTGATGGTCACATGTGATCCCATCCAGTATGGCCAACTGATGGTCGCATATTATCCCATCCAGTGTGGCCAACTGAAGTCACATGTGATCCCATCCAGTGTGGGCAACTGATGGTCGCATGTGATCCCATTCAGTATGGGCCAACTGATGGTCATATGTAATCCCATCCAGTATGGCTACTGATGGTCATATGTGATCCCATTCACTGTGGCCACTGATGGTCACATGTGATCCCATCCAGTATGGCCAACTGATG